TAATGAAGGTTTCCCGTACCAACTCCCTCTTCCAGGTCCAGTTGGCTGTATCGATGAGATCGCTAACCCATTCCACATTAGTATTGGGAGGTTTTAGCAACGGGGTTCTAGGAGCCGTGGTGTGTATCCACTTATCTGTCGAAGCGTTGATGGTGGTGCCAACGATGTGCTACGGCTGCTACACGGAAACAGTGGGCTGTCGCTGCTCTACGGAAACAGTGTGTGCTGGCAGCGGTTTATCCTTGGCATGCTACGTGTATACCGGCTTCAGTCAGCCACTTGGCGAAAGAGACGCGGACCCATTTGGCAGTATAGTATACAATTTGTACGAATTCCCATTTGTTCTGTTTCAAAAAAACTGTATTCCTATTTTGTATTTGGGCAACAAATACACGAAACAACGTGTTTTTTTGCGGGAAAATTAGAGAGCTTTATTTCATGAAAGCACACTCGGTGCAGTCAGCCAGAAGGCTGGTCACCAAGAAGCTAGGAGTTTCATCGAGCCAGCTTTCGGTCACATTCAGTGTGCAAGCTCGCTTCGCACACAGATGCGCCGGAACGTTCGCCGCTCAATTTACATGAAGAATATCAAAAGAAGCAAAAGAGGTACATAGCTCTCCTATTTCTAAAAGTAAAGGAGCCACAATTGAACGAGAACTATGGCGAGATTGCCAGAACTTCACCGGCTCCAAACAGTCGACTTCCATGATCACATGCTGAAATCCATGAAGACTAGCGAAGCGGACTCCATCGCGCAGTGACAAACACTCCATCATCAGGGGGTCCGAGACTCCCGTGTATGGTTTACACCATGAACCTAGGACAGCCGAGGATGATCTGGCTACTCCTCCAGCACCGCCCCGACCTTCAACCAGCTCCAAAGCGCCGTCCGTCGTGATCTTGACCGAACCCTCCTCAGGGGGCCGCCAACCATAACCCGGTAGGACCCGGTTTTCCTTACGTGGTAATTGGAGGAGGGAGATAGCCTCCTTAATATTTTTGATGGATGTTACAGGATCTCTCCCCTCTTCACCATGTTTTATTCGGTTCCTGGAGTGACAAATTGCCCACATAATAGTGGTGATCTTGGCACGATCATCGGATGTGAACTGAGGATCACAAGTGATATCTCGAGCCCACGTCACCGAGTGGAGAGGAGGAAGGCGAAGACCGAGCCATGTCCATGCCTCTTCCCAGAAGCTCTGTGCATGTATATAGTGTAATAGCGCATGCTTCAAGTCCTCCTCCGCGGAACGACAAACATTACACTGACGAACATCTGCAATGTGTCGATAGTTGAGAGTTGTTTCATCTGGAAGAATGCCACAAAGCACTCTCCACCAGAACACTCTTACTTTTGGGATAACATTCAGCTTCCATAAGGATTTCCACAACTGTTGATCATCCGATGAGGTTTCGGTAGCCATCCCTTCCTCTAGAGCCAAATGCTCGTTCTGAGTCATGAGAGCACGGTACGCCGTCTTTACAGTGTAGTTACCTGATATGTCAAAAGCCCAAGCAAGAAAATCATCACCACCGCCTTGCCTGATAGGAATATTAAGTATGGCCGCGACATCTTGAGCCATGAAATTATCCCTGATCAGCTCGATCTTCCAAGACCAACTCCGCGTGTCTATGAGGTCTGAAACCCTCTCAATGTTTGTACTTGTGGGTCTTGGAGTTGGAGTCATTGTAATCGTACCTGGGATCCACTTGTCCTCCCAAACCGATATAGTAGAACCATCTCCCACTCTGGAGATCAACCCTGTTTTCGAGGCGTCCCTTCCCGCCACAATCGCCTTCCAAGTTGCCGAGGCTGACTTGGGAACTGGAGCGTGCATGAAATCGGTATCCGGAAAGTAACGGCCCTTGAGTACTCTCGCACAAAGCGAATTTGGGTTGGTGATGAAACGCCACCCATGCTTGCCCAACATAGCTAGGTTAAACAGATGCGGGTCTCGAAACCCCATCCCACCCTCGCACTTGGGTTTAGATAACTCCTTCCAGGAAACCCAATGCATTGCTTTTTTATCAAGAGAGCTACTCCAAAAATATTTTGCCATGGGAGAAGTGAGACTCTTGCAAACTTTCTTGGTAAGAAGGAAAGTGCTCATGGGATAAGTGGGAATAGACTGAATTACAGACTTGAGTAATGTTTCTCGCCCAGCACATGCAAGCAATTTTTCCGACCACCCTTGCATCTTCCCACGAGCTCTCTCACTAATATGATCAAAAGTACCACTGGTGATACGTCCAACCGCAGTGGGGAGCCCCAAGTATCTCTCACTGAAAGCCTCGACTTGAATATTCAAGGTCGACTTCAAATCTTGCCTGATGGTGTCCGGGGTATTGGTGCTGAAATAAATAGAGCTTTTGTCCCGGTTCACACACTGGCCCGAAGCATCACCATAGATCTTCAGAATTTCGTTCAGACGGAAAGCACTGGCAGCGCTTGCATTAATGAAGATTAGACTGTCGTCTGCAAACAGCAAATGAGAGACCCAGGGTGATCTATAGCTCACTCTTAGTCCCCGATCAATGTATCCATCATTGTAAAACTTCAACAATGAGGAAAAACCTTCTGCACAAAGCAAAAACAGGTATGGAGAAACTGGATCACCTTGTCGAAAACCCCGAGATGGGGTGAAGAATGGAAGAAGCTCTCCATTAACCCGAACCGAAAAATGAACCGAGGTGACACACTTCATTATCAGGCGAACGAAATTAATACTGAAGCCCAGACGAGACAAAATCGCCTCGAGGTAATGCCACTCCACCCGATTGTAAGCCTTCATCATGTCTAGCTTGACTGCACAAGAGAAGTTCTTCCCTTTCTTCCTTCTTCTCATCGTATGTATACTTTCATATGCAACAAGTACATTGTCGGTGATGAGACGACCAGGAACAAAAGCGCTCTGCTCTTCACTAATAATATCATCCATGATGTATCGCAAGCGATTAGTAATAACTTTGGCCGCGATCTTGTAAAGGACCGGGCACAAAGCAATAGGATGATATTGTGAGATCGACTGTGGGTGCCATACCTTGGGAATAAGGGTGATGCTGGTATCATTCAATCCCGACGGTAACTCGCCCCCATTCAAAAAATCTAGTACTGCCAAAGTCACGTCATTGCTGAGCAAGTCCCAATGCCGCTGATAAAACCCTGCAATAAAGCCGTCAACACCAGGGGCCTTAGATGGAGCCATTTGGAACAAAGCCACTTTGACCTCATCTGCGGTGTATGGCTTGGTAAGATCATCATTCATGCCCTGGGCCACTTTGGCGGGCACATGAGATAATAAGTCGCTAGCCTCAGAAAAACCTTGTGTTTGATACAAGTTCTGGTAGAAAGCTAGCACCTCGGCCTTGTCCTCTCTTTCAGTTTCACATATTGTACCATCTGCACGCCGTAAGCCATGTATCTTGTTCGTTCTCTTGCGCTGGGCAGCTTGTGCCTGAAAGTAGGAAGTGTTCCGATCGCCCTCGAGGAGCCATGGAACCCGTGAACGCTGGCGAAGCCACACCTCCTCTTGGTATAGCGCTTCCTTCAGCTTCTTTACAGTACTTTTCTCCTCATCTGTTGGTCCCACCCCCATGGTAGAGCACCTGATGCGGTCTAATCTCTTTTGAAGTTTCCTGACCGTGCGTGCCAAGCAACCAAATTCCTTTGAACCCCATGGCTCAAGAATAGACTGGAGGGACCCCAAGGCCGACGCAATCCCCTGGAGCCCTGGCGTGTGTTGAATTCCCCGCCAAGTATCACATACTAGGCGATCGTAATCCGAATGTGTCTGCCAAACGTTCTCATAACGAAACTGTCTCTTAGCCCGTGGCCCGTAAGATAGCATATCCTTAATCTCAGCTACGACAAAACAGTGATCAGACTCAACAGAGGGGAGATGTCTGACCGTATATGTTGAAAAAGTTGTTGAAAATCTTCATTCCCAAAAGCTCGGTCTAGGCGTGCCTTTACATTTGCTGCACCTGCTTGCTGGTTGTCCCACGTATATGGTGTACCCGACCAGCCTAAAGCTTGCATGGAAACCTCATCCATAACAGTCCGAAACGCTCGCATGTGTGTTTCCGATCTTGCTCTTCTGCTAAAGTGTTCGGATGCATAGAGAGTTTCATTAAAATCCCCCATACACAGCCATGCTACATGGGGTATAGCAAAGAGAGTGCGCAGGAGCTGCCAGCTTTCACCACGATCTGAAGCTCTCGGCGCCCCGTAAAAACCAATAAACCTCCATACCGAAGCACTCTGATTGTTACTATGAACCACCACATCAATGTGACACTTGCTGAAATTTTTCAACTCAACAGTCACATCACGTGACCAAAACAGACCAATGCCACCACCTAGGCCGACACTGTCGACTGCAAAACACCCTCCAAAACCGAGGGTAAACTTCAAAGCCCTAATTCTTTTAGCTTGAATTTTCGTTTCTATCACAAAGAGAAGAGTGGGTCCTTCTAGCTTCACTATACTTCGAAGCTCGCGAACTGCCTCGGGGTTCCCAAGCCCCCGGCAGTTCCAGCTCAAGCATGTCATTATATCAGGCAGGACCGTGACGCGGTCTCTGCCGAATTCTCTGGAGTGGGCTTCTTTTTCTTTGGGTCCCGTACAAAGTCGTCACCTTCCACTTCATTGCTAGCAGAAGTTTCACCATCCTTGCCAACACGTGGACCGGGCAATAAACCACGAAGCGGCCCATTGTATTGTACCATAGCAAAACCTCGACGGTGTCAGAGGCGGACGTATCGGCCCGATCCCCTCCGAGGCGGCAACACGGCGACGGCCGACGAGCGAGAGTGACACCGCGACGGGCATCTCACTCGCCGACTGCGCGCGGTCCCCACATGGCCACATCCCCTCCCCCCTCTACAAAAGAAGGAGTAGCACTCCCGTGCGGGTCACTTCCACGAGCGATCGATCCCACCTCGCGCATCCGCATCCGCATCCGCACTTCAGCGCAGATCGGATCCCCACCCCACCCATGGCCGGGCGCTTCGACCTGCAGGGCAGGCACGGCAAGTCCCGCGTCCGGGTCTCCCGCGTCTGGCGCCGCCCCGCCGACGCCGGGGGGCACCTCTTCGTCGAGTGGAGCGTCGCCGTCAGCGTCGTCTCCGACTGCCTCCCCTCCTACACCTCCGACGACAACTCCGCCATCGTCGCCACAGACTCCATCAAGAACACCGTGCGCCCCCCTCCCCTCCCTCTCCCTCTCCGTTCCCTTCTCTCTGCCCGGCGGTGCTCCCCTTGATCCGCTGCGCCTTTTGCTTGCTTGCTCGATCAGGTGTATGTGAAGGCCAAGGAGTGCACGGAGGTGGTGTCCATGGAGGAATTCGCGGTCATCCTCGGAAGGCATTTCACCTCACTCTACCCGCAGGTAGGGAATGGTGGGGACGGGAATTTTTCCGACCCATTTATGGTGTGCTCTGTTGTACAAAAGCAGTGGAACCCGGCCACTTATGAAAGCGTTCTTGTTCGAGCAGGTCTCAGAGGCTACAGTGACGATCGTGGAGCGCCCATGGGAGCGTGTGGCAGTGGACGGGAAGCCCCATTCGCATGGTCAGAAGAGTTTTATCGCTTACTCTTGCTGTTTACCTGTGCCGTCGTATGCAAAATGTGCTTTTATGAAGCATAGGTTCCATTCAAATGGAAGCCAAGTCAGGAGGGCCAAACCCCCCAGCTTTTTTACTTAACAATATCAGAGTACATTACAGACATTCCAATTAGCGGCTGAGTATGTAAAAGCAGAGATAAGATGCTAGTGATTGCACATCCCCACAAACTTGCTTACAATCTACATGAAAGAAGTAGCATAAAACAACCTGACAAATGCTCCATACTCCAGTCTTGTTTCAGTGGTCAACTGCATAGAAGTTCTGAACCCTTTTGAAGGAAATGCTGTTCCGCCTCTTTTTGTAGATCAGCATGGTATTGGATCCATGTGCATATAGGACGAATTGCAGCTATTCTGGGCCATTAGGATTTTGTGATAGAAATATGTTATGTATGTTTCTTCCACATTTCTGAACACTCTGTTGTTCATTATGAACAGTTTTTAGCTACAGTATATGCATTGAAAAACGTTGTAAAGATCAACAAGCAGTAGCAGTTGAAGTAAGGCTAGAGAAAAGAAATATTTGATACTGAAAGCCTTTGGCAATGTGTATTTATCAACAACACAGCCAACCTTGGCTATGTTGGCTAGTGCCAGCAAACATCATGTTGCTTTTATCTAGCATGATGATGCACAATTATCATTTAAATGTTTTTTGCCAAACATATACTTGATACTTAATTGGTAAGTGAATGCACAATTCTGCATGTTGTTTGGAAATCCCTCTTCCAACTAGTGAAATTTATTTCATTATTATTAGAGAACAGAACCAAATGGGACTTAACCAATAAGTTGAATACCAGGGCCACTCAATCTTTAAGCATGCAGTTACTATTGGTCAAAAATAGTTTTTGTATGGCGCTCCCAAATAATTTCACATCGGTATCATTGTGATTGCAACTTGGATAGTGCGGTGCATAATAGTACCCTTACCCTGTATGTCTTCTATTTTATCCTTAAAAACTTAGATTCCTGGTAGATCAACTGATAGTCAAAAAGGAGGATTACGATAATTGAGCAGACTGTTTCTTCTCAATTACTTGCTGATTTTGTTTTTGTTTTGACAAATAAATTTCTCACATTTACCGTGGTAAATATTCATATTAACATATTTGCAAAATGTCATGGTAAAGGAAAAAGTCCCTCCCTGATGAATCATTTCAGAGTTATCTGATTACTTATACAATGGGCTTCTTTGCAGGATTCAAACTTGGTTCTGAAAAGCACACCACAGAGGTCACCGTGAAGAAGTCTGGAAGCCTACTTATAAATTCTGGGATACAAGGATACTCCCTGCTAAAGACAACTCAGGTGTTTATTTCACTTATTTGTCTTGATCCTTATGCCACCATTCCCAAAGAAATGGACTCTGCATATTTCTCCAACTCTGCTTGAGTTTGCTAGACACAGTACATAGTCGAATAAGTTATGAGTTCTGATATGCTAGAGATTTATAGGAGACTATTACGTAGGAAGATATCTCTGTAGCCTTACCCGAAGTTTTTTCCATGGTTGATGGGATATGAGACAGTCCTTGTAGGAGACCGTTGAAGTAGGAATGGACATGCTACAGCTATGTCAATATGTCATATATTCATTCTTTTGTGAATCGAATGCAACTTGTCAGCAGGCAGGAACTTTGTTAGATGTAGTGTCACAATTTAACTAGTTTTAGCTGAAGCGGAACTGTTTTACTTTAGTACCTATTACAGAAATAGGCTGCAGGTGCAAATAATAAATGCTAAATTCTTATCACTATCTATCTCAGTCTGGATTTGAAGGATTCGTGAGGGACCGCTACACTCTTCTTCCTGAAACAAGAGAAAGAATTGTTGCAACAGAAGTAACTGCTTGGTGGAGGTTTGTGCACTCTTCCCCATCTGCCTGAAATGTTCTCTGAGTCTTTTCCACAATGCTGATATCATCCAACCCTTTTCTGATTGTCAATAGTAATTCTCAGATTAAAGGCAATAAATCAAGTGTACTCAGCATTACCATAATAACATTTCTATTGCTGCTGGTCTTGGACAAGCATAATACTCTACAAATACTGTTGCCAGTATCTTTTGTGTTTTCAAGTTAATATGAGCCCATGTTCCTAGCCACGATTCACGATTTCCTAGTCTTTTAAATGACAAAACATGTCAGAATCTGTCCAATTGATTACCGTCATGCTTTCTCTTTTGTATTCAGGTATCCGTTCGAACATATTTCCCAGCTTCCGTCAAAGCCATTTTGCTTCACACAAAGATACCAGGATGTAAAGAAAGTTCTCGCAGACACATTCTTTGGTCCTCCTGAAGTTGGTGTATATAGCCCATCAGTGCAGAATACATTATACCTCATGGCTAGGGAAGTTCTTACCAGGTTTGCAGCTTTGAGATTTGGCCATTACATTGTTACCTGCTGTAGCTTTTTGTCAGCCGTATTTAGCCCCTACTTTTATGTACGCCTGAATATATGATGTCAACTCTCAGGTTCCCAGACATAGCGTCAGTTCAGCTTAGGATGCCAAACCTCCACTTTCTCCCGGTGAACCTATCAGGGAAAGAAAATCCAGGATTGGTGAAGGTGACTTGTTCAAAAACATGATTGAGCTTCTATTTTTGTTTTATTTTATGTCGGATATTGCAATTTTAGTTACTCCATAATTCCCATGTTTACCCACTTAAACTGAATCATTTCTATATACAGTTTGCTGATGATGTGTACATGCCAACTGATGAACCACATGGAACCATTGAAGCAACACTGAGCCGCGCCAACTCAAAGCTGTAATATTTTATTTTTCTGTTCCTTTTTTTTTTGGAGGAAAAGCTGCTATCTCGGTCATGGCTCGTAGCCAGGCTCATGACTTGGTTCGGTTTCTTCAAGATCAAAATCACCAATAAGCAAAGTGTTAGGGGAAATTTGCAAGGGAAAATGATGTAAACTTTGCATGTCTTCAGCAGAAGGACTTGTACATGGCCAGCTAGAGTTTCAGCATTGTAAATCTTGTACTGTTCTATAAAACCTTCACTCTGTCCCTTCTGGACCACATACCACATATCCGTACTCAAAGTTACATCTTATTTTTGCTTGTTCTTGCGCTTGTCGTAGAAGTGCAAGAGTGTCGTGTACTTTATATGTAACTTCTAAATTATCATTGTAATTTAGTTTTCCTTATAGTATTGTTGTTTTTGTTTCTTTTTTAATCATGGTAATACTACTACTACTACACTAAATATGTCTACTATGGATAAAATGTTGTTCTAGAATTTATTTCATTTTTTTTGTTCTGTGAAAAGTCAAAATTTTATTGTTCTGTCTATTGTTAAGTGTTAATTGTTGTTCTTTGCACTACAGCTTAGTCTTAGAGTATACATATAAGGCCCGTATATAACTTATGTACAGAAGGCCCATACGGAATCAGCCCAACGACCACCCATGTTCATCAAAAGCAAGGCCCATACCAGAAAGGGAAAACAACAGTATTTTGATGCAAATCCAACAGTTAAACGAAAACTGACTGAGAACTTTAAAATTAACTGATTGCTGACAGTCTGATCATGTTTGTGTTGGATGGTAAAGGTCGTGCGCACAAATCTACCGTATCATAAGTATGAATTGAAACAGATGGGGTTGACACGGAACATTAATCTGTTGTGAGAAGCATCCGAGAACGCTATGGTTGGCTCTAATACCGAGACAAACAATCATCTCTACTCTTTAAAAAAAACAAAGTTGATGATGATGGTATGCTTGCCATCCTGCAATATAGGCCGTCCGATTTATATCCGACGGATAGGAAGAGAACTATGGTAATTTTGTAAAAAGATACCTACACCCCTCTCCAGATGTGTAAATAAGGGCTTTCCTCGTTCATTTTTTCTTTCACAAGATAAACTACTCATACAAATACATCTTAATATTCCGTGCAATCGCATAGGCATCTTGCTAGTGGGTTAAAAAAGCACAGTTCAACTTTTGGCGCTGCGCCTACTCGTGTACTCCTCCTGGGCGTGTTACCGGATGCCAACAGGCCAAAACGATCGGCAAATCCAGCGGCGGCCTCTTCATTGGAGGGTACATATCCGTGGTGTTTCGGGCTGGGTCAAGTACAGTGAGGGGTATGTACCAGTAGGTCCAGTACATGATTGATTCCCCAGGAACGGACAAAGCATTTTGCTGCATTGTCCTCGAGAGATCGAGAAGGAAAGGAGAGTAGATCCACACTCTTTTCTTTCTTGGATAGACCGGCCGCACTCAAGATACCGGAGAAAACGGAACATGGCCAGCTTCATTCATCAAAGAGGCTTCCCTTCCCCCACATGCTACAGCTACAGCGTCGCCGATGACACCAATGCGTGTGGAAAATTTTGTCCTCCGGCCACCTAACAGACCTCCACCTGCCGATCGACGGACGGAGAGCAATAACTCGGAGGGAGGGCCGCAGGGCGAAACGAAGGTCGCTGCCCACGGGGGGAGGAGGAGCCCTCGATCGCGGCCGCCGATCGGCGGGCCGTGGACCACCGCGCGTTTCCACGCCAACGACCGCCGGTGGCCCAGCCAGCCCAATCATGGGCGCCGCGCCGTGCGGTGCGTGCGGCCGGTCGCTCGCTGGTCATCGACGTTTACAGCCGCCCCATCGATCCTCTCTTGATCAAATCCCGAAGCCGCATCTTCCTGGATCTGCGGTGAAGACGACTAGACGCGACGCTACGCCACCGCGTGAACCGGGCGCGCGTCCCCGTCCTTCCTGGCGATGCCCGTGGACTGGGCGCGCGCACATGGCATGGCATGGCAGGCTGGCGCCGTTGATGGATCCCCGCTGGCTCCGAGCTGGCTGGATACGGTACGGCGGCATGCATGTACGTAGGCACGCCGGGGGCCCGGGGCACATGGCGGACGGACGGGGATGCTCCTCTGACCGGCGATGTAGTACGCTTGACCAGCAAGCAGCCATTGGTCTTGGTCCCCAACCCAGCGGTAGCACCAGCACGGCCTCATCATGGACTCCCATCGGAACCCACAAAATTTTCCTATTTCTGTTGCAAGTTGCAACTACTGTAGATTGCACTACAGCTACTGCAGAGGAAGTGGTTTAGAATTTTGGATTAGCGCACAGGCTGCTGTCGATCGGAGTGGGCTTGCTACAGGAAAGGCCTGTACTACCAGCGATAACAATAGGCCAGGGAACTTAATTCAGAGGTGCCAACAGTTTGATAGACCGTAGCAGCTTGCCTAAGCAGGGCCGCATATTTCGGTAGACATACAACAGCTCGCACTGTGCTGAAGAAAACTACTCACTCCGTTCATAAATATAAGATGTTCTAGTTTTTTTTGTTAAATCATATATATATACACACACATTTTAGTTTGTGTTTGTTTACTCATCTTGAATTTGTGACGGATGGAGTGTTAGAAATCCAGATTATTCATGTCACCAACGATCATACCTTTCGTGTTTTATCGAGAGCCCCCCGTAACCTTAGCCGCCACACAACGTGCGTCCTCATCGGTTGATTCCATTGCCCCCCCCCCCCCCACCTTTCATAGGTGGTTTCATTTTCGGCGGGGAGGGGGGAGGGGGGACGATCGCGTTTGCAAGTGTTGATATAGTTCGTTAGCTTTTGGTGTCCTCGTTTTGTTTGTTCGGGCGGTAGGAGTGACGATGTAATGGAATAAGCACCTCTAGCTCCATTTTTGTCGTGGTGGCATTGGTTCTGGCGTCACGGGGTGCGTGAGGGTTGGTTCCCCCGGTTCACATTCGTCGGTGTGGGAAAGAGTTGTCAATCATGATGCCTCTGTATTGATTTTTGGTGGCGCCGGTGGTGCCGTCAATACAATTCTAAGAGACCCTTTCGGCCCTGACGTAGTGTTGACTCTCCACATTCGGTCTTCGCCTTCTTTCCAAGTCGACCCTTTTGAAATTTTAGTTATCGGCTATAACAACTCTTTGGCTCTGGTGATGCGAAGAAGGTGTGGCATCGAGATAGGCTGTTGGTGGGTCTGCCAGATTTGCCTTGAACAATTTTTGTTTTGGTCAGGAGCGTTATTTTCTTTGCGGGGAGGTTAGGAGTGTTCTTGTATGGTTCAAACTTAGTTAGCACGACTTATTCTGACGTCAAAAAAAGATTATTCATCGGAAGTCCTATTCTGCTTTTGAGCTCATCAAATGCTCCCTCATAAACAGTAAAATAAAAAAATAGTAAAAAATTCATAAAATTCTGACTTCTTTCGTGATAAACTTTGACAAATGTTTTGTGCGCTTGCAAAATATTAGCACAAAACAACATTCGTGGATGGCGTGGCAAAAAAAAAAAACAGAATCAGCACTCCAAAATATTTTTCAAACAAGCATTTTTGAAACACCAATTTTGTTCTTTTTTTGCCACGACTTTCATGAATGCCATTTCGTGCTACAATTTTGCAAGCATACAAACTATTTGTCAAAGTTTGCCAAAAAATATTCAGATTTTTTTACTGTTCATAAGGGAGCATTCGAGTTCGGGTGTAGATACTCCATGTGCATTATTCATGTCATTCATCGTTAACTGATTTCTTCTTTCTTCGTACGTTAAGGTATGAACTGGATCACCCCATCGACCTCGCTCGGTTCATGTTTGCTCGTCCCTCTGTTTCTTGAGCTTATAGTAGTGGTCCACAGCGCAAAGCTTTCTCACGTATGATTTTTCTTTTGAGGATAGTTGCTGGGCGATGGGTGCACCATCATTCTCTGACCTCGTTTTTAAAATGGGCGCCAAGTGTTCTCCGGGTTTCCGGTATGAAAGTGGGCAACTTACAAAAGAACCAGGCATCTACTTTTTTGTTAGAATTTTTTTAAAGGAAAGAAAATGATTTAGGCATCTTGCTTTGCTATCGACCCCGACGGTACACCCACCGTGAGATACGATGCGTACAGTATTCAATTCATACTACCATCTGGGAGATCATCAGAAAGCTATAGAGCTCATGAAAGATCACCGCGGGCAGTACGGGGTGCGGTTACTTTCTGGTCGGAACTGTTGTCTCCAAAAATCGAAAGATGGCCATCTTGATCATCGCAATGATACGAATTCTGTGCCACGGTACTTGTACAGCCATTGACTAAGAGGCAACAAAACGTAGAAAGGCAGATTGTTCATACGAAAGAAAGATATGCCCACCTCATATTATACGGATGTAACTGGCGTACGTAGACCGCGCGCATGCAAAAAAAAAAAAACTGCCCGCACGATCTACCCGCCCACCCCATCTACTCGCCCGTCCACCC